AAACAAATTTTGCATTTTTGTGAAGCTTTGCTTTATGCTTTAAAGGTTGTAATGTAGATCCAGATATTTTCCTCAGCTTTCAGTTCTCTGACATATGAGAGACTATTCACACAGAAAACCTACCAATGTGCTTTGTCTTTGTTTTAAGGGAGACAAAGCTGACAGGTTTGGCTGGACTGCCTTTTGTTTGTTTGTTTGTTTGTTAATTAAGAGACAGAGTTACAGAGAGAGAGAGGGAGAGACAGAGTTGGGCCTATCCAGAGCTGCTTGGCGCATTTTGCATTTTCCTTCTTTCTTTCTTTTTTTTTTTTTTTTAAGATTTATTTATTTTATTTGAAAGTCAGCGTTCACTCCCCAGTTGGCCTCAGGAGCCAGGAGCTTCTGCCGGGTCTCCCACGCAGATGCAGGGGCCCAAGAACTTGGGCCATCCTCCACTGTTTTTCCCAGGCCATAGCAGAGAGCTGGATCGGAAGTGGAACAGCTGGGACCTGAACCAGCGCCCATATGGGATGCTGGCACTGAAGGCGGCAGCTTTACCCGCTATGCACAGTACCAGCCCCTGGACTGGCTTTTGTGCTCTACTTATTATCCTACTGCTCAGCACAGCAAGAAAACAGCCAAAATACAAGTTAAGTATATGCAGTGACTTTCATATCCTTGATGCCCAAAGATTATGTTGACTGCATTTCTTTTATTCTTTTAAAGATTTATTTAATTTTATTTGAAAGAATTACAGAAAGGGGTAGAAACAGGGAGAGGTCTTCTATCCGCTGATTCACTTCCCAGATGGTTGCAATGGCACCGATCCGAAGCCAGGAGCCAGGAGTTTCTTCCGTATCTCCCACGCAGGTGAAGGGGCCCAAGGACTTGAGCCATCCTCTGCTGCTTTCCCAGGCCATAGAAGAGAACTGGATCTGAAGAGGAACTGCTGGGACTCGAACCAGCACCCCTATGGGGTACTAGCGCTTCAGGCCTGGGCTTTAACCCACTGCGCCACAGCACCAGCCCCTATTTCTTGCTTTATTTAAGCTGTAGTAACTGGTAGGAGCAGATGGTCAGGGGTCTAGAAGACTGTCAGTAGACCACTCAGTTTGTCCTGGATAATTAGAGCAAATTCAATTTCCTCTCATTGTCTCTTTGCTACAGTGTCTCTTATTTTCCCATGTCTCTAATTTCTTTGCCTTCTTTCTCCCCCTTTCTGTTAGGTCTTTCCTCCAAGGTACTCCACCTTCTAGACCACCTTTGACACTTGTGAAATCATTGGAATGAGAAGGTATTGTTATGATTTAAACAGGATTTGGCTCCTCAAACACATTCAGATCTTTAAACTGCAAAATCTCACGTTAAGGGGCAATGGATTAATATAGTGGATTAAGAGTAGAGAGTTGATCTACTTATGGCCTCTGAGAGGTGGGCCTAGTGGAAGATCTTTAGGCCATGGGTGGCTGGCCCTCAGAGCTCTCTCAAGAGGGTTGGTCATTTAAGCCAGTGGGCTTCCTGTCTCTCTCTGCTTCCTGCCTCACCATGTCATCATTACTCCATCATCACCTGGCATCATCTGATGAATCAATCAACCAACCCAGTCATGAACTGAGAACTTATAAATCATAAACCAAAATAAATCTTCTTCCTTCCTACGTTGCTCCTCTCAGGCATTTCAGCTGCAGTAATGAAAAGCTGACTAATACAGGTATGTTGTTTGTAAAAGACATAATTAACGATTTCCAACCATTTGACATGAGCCATGAGCTCCCCCACCTTCCATTCAATACAACTGTATTTCCTCAGTTCTATCAAATGGTAGGTTTTGCAGGGCTTTAGTTGTTCAAAGGTTTTTGTTTACCCTCAGTTGGAAAAAATCCTCAGGGTTCAGAGTAAAAGTGTCCTGGGGGAGAGATGTTTGGTTCATCAGTTAAGACACTAATTGGGACAACTGACTCTTACATCAGAGTTCCTGGTTTGAGTTCCAGCTACCCTGTATCAGATCCAATTTCCTGCTAATGTGCAGCCTTGGAGGCAGCAGATCATGGCTGAAGTACTTGGGTCCCTGCCTCCCAAATGGAAAACTCAAATTGAGCTCTGGGCTCTTGGCTTTGGCCTGGCGCAGCCCTCAGTATTGTGGGCATTTGGGGAAGGAATTAGCAGATGGAAGAACCCTCTTTCCATGCCTTTCGAGTAAAATGAAAATATAACAAAATATGTTCTGGGATTGGCTTTTTTTTTTTTTTTTTTTTTTTTTGTGTACTAATCAGACTTCATGCATTATCCAAGTGCTTCCTGGGAAAACTGGGGAATTTAAAATCTTGGTAAGATAGTTTTATTTGCATATTGAGGTTACTTGGCATTTGTTCTTCTATGGGAAGCACCTGGTAATCCTATGTTGTACCGGGAGTTCCCTCTCCCTTTATGTGATACAGGAAACAACTCTGATTAACTCTGAGCCTACGGGTCAAGAGAGAACTCCTCCATTTTGGATGACATTTCTACAATGTTAGAAAACTTACAGCACAGAGGTCACTTTAAAGTGTCGGTTATGGGGCAGGACACGGTTTGCTCCCCTGGGGCCCTCCGGTCCCTCCGACCCAGGGCGGGCGGTAGGCTGGGGGGCCACAGGACAGACTATGGCCCTCGCTGCGACTGCTCCACCGCCCCAGCCTGGGCACTGAAGCAGCGGCGAACCGCATCCGGCCCCACTTCGGTGATTTCATGGAGGTGGTCGCCTCTCAGAGTCCGGACTCCCCACCCCACGGCGGCTGGGTCTCCCGGCTCAACCCCGCGGAGCCTATGCGAGGCTCCCTCTCCGAGGAGCCACGGACGCTGCGTCTTTGAGTGGTGCGGGTGCGGCCTGCTGAGCAGAATGGCGGCCACGGAGGCCGTTAGGAGCCTGACGGCCCGAGAAGGCGGGGTCTACGGACGCAAGCCCGGCCTGGTCTTCACGCAGATCTGGGGCCTGGGGTGAGCGCCATGTCCCAGTTGGCCCGACGACCACGGACCGAGGCCTCAGCGGCCCGGCAGTGAGCGGAGCCGCGCGGGACACCGGCGGCGGAGCGGTGAGCGGCAGTGGGCAGGCGGTCCGGGCTCCAGGGCACGGTGCTGCTGGCAGGGAGAAGGCCGCCCTCGGGAAGATTTGCTGAGCCACCTCAGCCACTTGATTAGAGAGATCAATGGCAGATTGACTAGAGGCACGAGAGTACAACCTGTAAATACAAGATATTGCGGTTTCAGAAAGACATCCCTTTCCCATCACTACTTCCATGTGTATTTGGGTAGCTCATTTCTCCCAGCCCAGCCCAGGGCATCTTGGGATGTCCCCACCTTGTTGCGCTGTGACTTTGGTGATGTCTGTAAATCATCTTGTTGCACAGGAGCATGGAACTTCCAGGTAATTGGAAGCTCCTTGAATTCAGCATCTTGGTTTCTAAACTATTCCTCACCAATACCAGACTGGTATCATAAATGTTGGTGACGAACTGTTAAACCAACACTTTTGAGACTCAAGAATCTCTGAAATAAAAGGTTTATTGTGACATTAGAGATGCTAGCCTGAAAAAGAACCAGACCCAATAGCAGCAAGACTAGGGAACACTGGGAAAATATTGAAGGACCCCAAAAGTGGTGCCCTTTTGTGACGACCCCAGAAACACAGACTCCAGATCAGGCGATGCAAAAAGCAAGAGGCAGTTTTATTTCATTTGTGCAAATGGGCCCTCTGCTGCCACATGCAGCGGGAAAGAGAGGAGCCCTGTGCCCTGATTACACGCAGTATTTAAGGCGAAAAACCACACAATTATCATAAATTAACATTCTACTTGGTGTAAATAGCTCATTGGATAGTTTTCAGCAATTGACCTAATATGGCATTTTGAAAGCAGTAGGGAAGTATGGTCAGTGGAAAAGTACTAGGTCAAAAGGGTATGACGGGGGGGGGGGGGGGGTGTTCCCATGGCTGTTTCTGAAACTGTTTGTCTTAAGTTCCTGTTTTTCTATTTCATCAAGGCCACTTTTATGGCAGCTCACGGCCGCTCCCTTCATTCCCCCATTTTCTCTTTGAACTAATTTTAATCCTAAAATTGTTTGCCTGTTACTGTTAAAGCTATTGGTAAGGGGTTTCAATATGGTCACTGGTGGCCAGGGCTTGGTACTGCTGCGTGAGGACTAATGCCTGCACGGTGGACAGACTGTCCCTAACAAACTGGAGTAATTGGTTTATAATGCATGGCCCGAAGGTCAGAATTAGGATTAGGATGATAAGGGGGCCCGCTATGGTGGAGAGCAAGGTTGTCAACCAGGGCAACCTGTTATACCACCCCTCAAACCAGCTCTGAGTCTGTTCCCTTTCTCGTCGTCTTTTTTTCCAGCCGCTCTCTTAGTTTGGCTAAAGAATCTTTTACTACCCCGGAGTGGTCTATATAGAAGCAGCATTCTTCTTTGAGGGCAGCACACAACCCTCCCTCTTTTAGAAACAACAGGTCCAAGCCCCTGCGATTTTGGAGTACTACCTCTGAGAGGGAGGTGAGGGACTCTTGTAGCCGTTGGAGATTCTGTTCTATCTCCATGATGTCCGCGTCCACCGCCTGTTGAAGGATTGCTAGTTTGCTGTTTCCTTGGGTTAAGGTGGCCGTCGCTGTGCCCAGCCCAGCGGCTGCTACCCCAAAGCTCAGTAGCACTGCTAGGGTCACAGAGGCTGGTTCCCTACGGAACCTGGTTATAGCGCTGTCGTACCGCTCCTCGAGTGTTTTCTGGGTGGTAAATCACTTTCGGGACAACTGCCACCAGGACACAGAAATCCCCAGTCCCGTTGAGAACAGTGGTGGACACACAAGGAGTGAGGCTGCGAGAGCATGCCCACCAGGTTCCAGGAGGAGTTGACAGTGGTGTGGCAGAGGCGCTGGTAGGCCGAGGGTGGGTCCCTGACACAGGATCCCCTCCCTGAGACCTCCGCCAAAGTTATCAGGGGATTAACGGTAGGGCACTGCCGGTGGGACGAGGAGGTATTGAAGGTTCCAACGACAGCTATTCCCTCATAGTAGGGCGGGCTTGTGGACAAGCATAACCAGCAGGGGTCGGTCAGGTTAGGGTGAGACTGATTCAATGCCGAAAAGGCGCCTCGTATTAGCAACATTGCTCTCTCTCCTGCAGGTAGGCTCGCGACGGGAACCTCGCGATGGGAACCGGTGAGCTTGTCCTCATAGAGGTCAGTGCCGGTGTGCCTGTTCCTTTAGAGGTCGGCTGCTTGGTCATCTCAGGCTGGGGGTGGCTCGGCCAGTAGGCAGGGGCCAGAGCCCTGTTAGGCCCTACCGGTAGGGGGTCGGGAGAGGTGATTCTCAGTCTAATTTTGAACCAAAATCCAGGATCGGTTCCAGAAACATAATAGCGCAAACCCCAGATCCTCCCTTTGATCCAACTAGACAGCGTTGCGTATTGTTTCCCTGAGGTGGTAAAGGTAATATTAAGGGGATTGCACGTAGGGGACCTTGCACACGGGGAAGTGGACCCACAGGAATTGGACCTGCTACCTCTCAGAAGGAGGGGTGTACACTGATCGAGGCCCTCAGGAGTGTAGTTACACTGCACAGTAATCCAGTCCCAAGCGGAGGACGGCCCCCAGTCTGCAGCTCCTGAAGTTTCGCACCCCCAAGCCTTACAGTATAGGGACTCTGGTCCCCCACACCGGAAGGTCTGATCCTGGCGTCTACCATCCTTGGGGCACACATAGAAGTCCTGATGATGTAGTCGGCATCTCCAACTTGTGTCTCTACATCCGTAGCCCCCCATGGAGGATCCGGGCGAAAGCACCTGTGGGAGCGGGTGCCCGGGGTGGAAGGGTATGCTGTCCTGGTCGGGTAGATCCCAGGTCTCTAGCCCCAGGACTAGTTGGCATACTTCTGGGTGGAGAGGAGGCCACCACGTTCCTGGCACCTGAGTGTCACTGGTCGACCAGACCACGCTACCCGAAGGGGAGATCACTTCCCAAGTGAGCCTTTGCGGCCCATGGGGGATAGGGAGGGACGAGCTGGGTAGGGTGAGACTAGGGTGAATCATAAGCAATACAGGCAACAGGTAAATGTTTACAAACATTAAGCAGCTTTTGAAAGTCTTATCTTGAAGGGGTTTTGAGTGCGCTGGAGTTTCCATCTCGATGGTTCACTTGTGTCCTTGCCTGAACTCTCCTCATCTTCTGATGCCTTTTTGACATGAGAGGCGTGAACCCAAGCTGCGATTCCATCCACTTTCACTGCTGTCGGCGTTGTCAGTAGTACGGTGTAGGGCCCTTTCCAGCGCGGTTCAAGAGTCTTAGTCTGGTGTCTACGGACGTAGACTGAGTCCCCTATCTGGAAGGGGTGAGGTACTGCAGGGCTCTTGGACTGATACACCACCGCCAGCGGTTTCCACACATGCCTCTGGATCAATTGCAAGGCTCTAAGCTGGGCCTGCAAAGTGGGGGAGGTAGCATAAGAGTCAATGCTTGGTCCCAACAGATCAGTCATAGGAGGGGGACCCCCGTACAATATCTCATACGGAGTTAACCCGAACGCGGAGGGAGTGTTGCGGGCCCGGAATAGGGCCATTGGTAGTAACTCGACCCAGTCTCTAGTGCCAGTCTCCATCATTAATTTGGTTAAGGTCTCCTTAATTGTTCTATTCATGCGCTCTACCTGTCCTGAACTCTGGGGTCTGTACGCGCAATGCAATTTCCAATCAATCCCCAGTACTTTGGCCACCAACTGACTTACCTGGGAGACAAAGGCCGGCCCATTATCGGATCCCAGTACCTTAGGTAGGCCAAACCGCGGAAAGATTTCTTCCAGGATTTTCTTGACCACCACCTGTGCTGTTTCCTTTTTTACCGGAAAAGCCTCTGTCCAGCCGGAAAAAGTGTCTACAAATACTAGGAGATACTTAATTCATCACCTACCGGGATGAATCTCGGTAAAGTCCACCTCCCAGTTTGTTCCCAGGCATGCCCCTCGCATCCTTGCTCCCTCTGGTATTTTAATACACTTTGGATTTACTTTTGCACAAGGAACACAGGATTCTGTTGCTTGTTTTACTAATGAGTCCAGTCCTATTATGAAGTAAGTTAGTTCCTCTCTGTCCAGTAGGGCCTTTAACTTTTTATGCCCCAAGTGGGTCCATCTATGGAGGTCTTTTATGAGGTCCTTGGCTTCCTTTCTTGGCAGTACTGTTTTCCCCTGGATCTCCCAGACTTTACGCTGGTCATTGTATGCACCTCCCAGTCTTTGGATGGCTGTCACATCTTGCTCCGAATATGACCACCCAGGGTTATTTGAGGTTTCAGATGACTGTGTTACTAGAGTGACGCTGTCCAGGGCCCTTGTTTTGGCTACCTCATCCGCCATTCTATTCCCCTTAGCCACTGGGTCATCTCCTTTCTGATGGCCTGGGCAGTGGATGATGCTCACTTTCTTTGGAAGGTGGAGGGGTTGTAGGAGATCTAGGATCTCCTGCTTATTTTTGATATCCCTGCCCCCTGAGGTTAGCAACCCTCTCCTCCGGTATATTTCCCCATGTATATGCGCCGTGGCAAAGGCATAACGGCTGTCGGTATAAATGTTTACCCTCCGATTCTTAGCAGCATGGAGTGCTTGGGTGAGGGCCACCAGTTCAGCCTTCTGTGCCGAAGTCCCTGGGGGCAGAGCAGAGGCCCATATGACAGTTTCCCCATCCACCACTGCCGCCCCTGCCTTTCTCTCACCTTGGTGCAAGAAGCTGCTCCTGTCCGTATACCAGGTGACTGCGTTTGACAGGAGTAGATCGGTCAGGTCCTCTCGGGTCCCGTGCACCTCGGCTAACACTTGGTGGCAGTCGTGGTTGACTTGTGATGCAGACCCCGGCCCAGGGAGCAGGGTGGCCGGATTGAGCAAGGCAGCAGTCCCATACCGGTTGAGCAACATGGCCTGGTAGTGGGTGATCCTGGCGTTCGAGAGCCATCTATCTGGTGGTTGGTGGATGACGGCCTCGATGGCATGGGGTGCCACTATGGTGAGTGGTTGCCCCAGAGTCAATTTGTCTGAGTCTTTCACTAAGACGGCCACAGCCGCAATCATGCGGAGGCAAGAGGGCCACCCCGAGGCGACATTGTCCAGTTTTTTTGAAAAGTACGCCACAGGTCTTTTCCAGGGCCCCAAATTCTGAGTTAAAACACCCTTTGCCATTCCCCCTTTTTCATCCACATAGAGGGTAAAGGGCTTAGCGGGATCTGGGAGGCTTAATGCTGGGGCCTCCAAGAGGACTCGTTTTATTCTGTCAAATGCTAATTGTTGTTCCCTTCCCCAGATGAACGGAGAATTTGTCCTGGTTAGGGGGTACAGGGATGCTGCCATCTCCGCAAAACCCGGTATCCAGAGGTGGCAGAAGCCGGTGCTGCCCAAGAACTCCCTGAGGTGGCGAGCATTTTTAGGCAGCGGGATGAGCCCTACGGCCTTCTTACGTTCCTCAGTCAGCCACCTCCGACCCCCCTCCAATACGTAGCCCAGATAGGTCACGCGTTGGGTGCAAAGTTGGGCCTTCTTCGCGGAGGCCCGGTATCCTAACTCTCCCAGCCTATGGAGTAGGGCCTCCGTACTTTTGGTGCAACCCTGCTCAGTCTCTGCAGCTAACAACAAGTCATCCACGTATTGTAGGAGAGTCAACTCTGGGTGGCTTACCCGGAAATCCGCCAAGTCCTGGTGTAGGGCTTCATCAAACAGCGTAGGGGAGTTCTTGAACCCTTAGGGAAGCCTGGTCCACGTTAGTTGTCCCAAAAACCCAGTCTCCGGGTCTTTCCACTCGAAGGCAAAGAGAGGTTGACTCTGGGGACTCAGTCTTAGGCAAAAGAAGGCATCTTTTAAGTCAAGCACCGTATACCAAGTTCGGGTCGGGGGCAGGGTGCTCAGCAGGTTGTACGGGTTAGGGACCGTAGGGTGAATGTCCTCAGCCCTACAGTTTACTTCCTGTAGGTCTTGCACTGGCCTGTAATCATTGGAGCCAGGCTTTTTGACTGGTAACAAAGGGGTATTCCAAGGTGACTGACAAGGTCTCAATATGCCCAGTTTTATTAGTCTCTGTATGTGTGGCCGAATTCCGACCTTTGCCTCCGTAGCCATAGGGTATTGGCGGATAGATACGGGAGTGGCCGTGGGCTTCAGGTTTACTATCACCGGGGGCTGTCGGACAGCAAGCCCTACTCCTCCCGCCTCTGCCCAAGACTGGGGGAATTTAGCAAGCCATTCAGATGCTACTTGGGGCTGAGCTGGTAGGGGGGCACTCATGAAGGCAGTATTCGTCTTCCAGCTGAAGGGTCAACACATGGAGGGGTTGGCCTGTGGGGCCGACTACTGTGGCTCCCTTGTCTTGGAAATGGATCTGGGCCCCAACCTTTGAGAGCAGATCCCTTCCCAGCAGGGGGTATGGGCAGTCTGGCACTAGTAAGAACGAATGCGTGACCCGTCCTGTTGCCAGGTCGACCTTACGCTCAGTAGTCCATTTGTACAGTTTTCCTCCGGTGGCCCCTTGGACCCATGATGTCTTGGAACTGAGAGGGCCCTCAGCTGTGGTAAGAACTGAATGCTGGGCTCCAGTGTCGACCAGAAAGGTGACTGGTCGGCCTCCCACTTTCAGGGTTACCCGGGGCTCAGGGGGAGGCTCCTGGCCCTGACCTACCTATTCGTCGTCTTCCAATGACGGGACCGGAGTGGTTCTTGGCTGGGGTCTTGGCCGTCCCTTGTTCGGATAGTCCCTGGCCCAATGCCCTCTCTCTTTACAGTAGGCACACTGGTCTCGTTCTACTCTCGGTCTCCGTTTGTCTCCCTGGTCCCTGTCTTGCCTGCCCTTGTCTCTTCCTGTTTTTGGCCCTGCAACTGCGGTGGCCAGGACCTTTACTAATTGTTTATCCCTTTTCCTGTCCCTTTGATCCTGTTCCCTACGTACTCTTTCTTCCCTTTCTTCTTTAGTTTCTCTTTTGTTATAAATCTTCTCTGCCTCCTTCACCAAGTCGGGGAGTGTATATCCCTGCAGGCCTTCCAACCTTTGTAGTCTTGTGCGGATGTCCGGGGCTGATTGTCCAATGAAGGACATGATTACGTTGGCCTGCCTGTCAGGGGCCTGTGGGTCAAAGGGAGTATACATTCTGTATCCTTCCATTAACCTTTCTAAAAATCCTGCCGGAGTTTCCTCACTACCCTGCACAATCACACGTACCTTGGCCAAATTGGTGGGGCGTCTTCCTGCCCCCCGGAGACCTGTCAGGAGAACCTGGCGATAGAGACGGAGTTGCTCCCTACCCGCTGCCGTATTGAAGTCCCAGTTTGGTTGAGTCAGCGGGAACACCTCATCAATCTCGTTAGGTAGCTGGGTGGGACGGCCGTCATCCCCCGGCACATTTTTGCGGGCTTCTGTGAAAACCCGCTGTCACTCTTCCGTGGTCAGAAGGGCCTGTAAAAGCTGCTGACAGTCATCCCAAGTGGGTTGGTGGGTCAACAAAATAGAATCAATCAGGCCTGTGAGGGCCTGAGGGTCCTGCGAAAATGGGGGGTTGTGGGTTTTCCAATTGTAGAGATCTGACGCGGAGAATGGCCAATACTGAAGCTCCCCCCCACCGAATGCAATGGGAATGCCTGGGATGCCCAATAATCCCCCCCTTCCCTTTGCTCTCGGCAAAGGCGCAGGCAAGTACTTGGCGGTGATGGGTCTCATGGGGGAGTGGGTTGTGGTCCCCCTGATCCTTGGACCGTTGAGTCCGGAGATGGGGCAGAGGGAGGCACTTCCCTCAATGCCGGACGGTTGTATGGCAGTGGGGGATCCAAAAGGAGGAGGTCCTCCTGTCCACCCGGAAGGACGGGTGGACATGTGGTTTTCGGTGGTTGGAGTTCTTTTAGGGGATAGAGATCGGAGGTTGGCAGGGGATCTTGCACTGGGATTCCTGCTGGAGCGGGGATCAGGGGAGTTGAGGAGGGAAGCGGGGGAGGTCTGGGACCCCTATCAACTTCCTCCTTATCTTTCTGCTGGCAGTCTTTGGTGTCTCCATGTGCAAGGAATGGCTTAACCCAAAGCGGAGGCTTCCGGGTCAAGTCTTCCCACACCGTGACATATGGTACTTGGTCTGGATGTCCCCCTCCACCCTTACGGCAGACTTGGTCTTTAACCTGCAAAATTAAGTCAAGGTTAAAGGTTCCGTCCTTTGGCCACCCAACACCGAAAGTGGGCCATTCGGAGGTGCAAAGCGCCACCCACTCCTTTTTGCGGACTTCCATTGACAAACTGCGGGCGATCTCTCGAACCTCCTTCCAGTGTCCTAGGGTCAGGCTCAAAGGTGTTGTTAATTGTTGCCCCATGACGACAGATGGGGGAGACAGTAAGAAATAAAGAACGACAAAAACAGCGACACACAGAACACAAATCACAAGCCGCGTGGCAACAGACCGAGACAAAACCGAAACTAAAATTTCAGACGGGAGTGGCCGTCTGGCCAGACTCTCCCCTGGAAGGAGGGAAATGCTCTCTTTCCCCCCTTCCCAGACCACCACTGGAGCGTCCTCCAGGGTGGGACCAGGGGTCTCAGGACACGTCTGTCTCCCCCACTGGTCCAATACTGAGCCTGCACAGGCGCCCCAGGACGGTCTCCACGTCGCCCTGGCAAACAACGACAAACAGTACAAACCGCAATTACAATAATACACAAATAAGCAAACTTACCTCCGTCAGGCCGATGGAGTGTGGGAGTCTAGGATCTCCCAAATCCCGGACGAGCCCCCAAATGAAAGACTCCAAAAGTGGTGCCCTTTTGTGACGACCCCAGAAACACAGACTCCAGACCAGGCGATGCAAAAAGCAAGAGGCAGTTTTATTTCATTTGCGCAAATGGGCCCTCTGCTGCCGCATGCAGCGGGAAAGAGAGGAGTCCCGTGCCCTGATTACACGCAGTATTTAAGGCGAAAAACCACACAATTATCATAAATTAACATTCTACTTGGTGTAAATAGCTCATTGGATAGTTATCAGCAATTGACCTAATATGGCAGTTTGAAAGCAGTAGGGAAGTATGGTCAGTGGAAAAGTACTAGGTCGAAAGGGTATGACGGTGGTGGGGGGGTTTCCCATGGCTGTTTCTGAAACTGTTTGTCTTAAGTTCCTGTTTTTCTATTTCATCAAGGCCACTTTTATGGCGGCTCACGGCCGCTCCCTTCAATATTAACACTAGAAATAAGAGAACTTTACTTGTTTATAAACTTTGGGGAAGGAAAACCTAGTAACCTACACTGACTGTAGATAACAGGGGCAGGATAATGTTAAGTAATTAAAGTTTGGGGATAGGAAGACAGTCCACATGAATAAGTGCTTGTTGCTTCTGGATTGGTTGGAGTAAAGAAGCAAAGTAGCCTGGTGGTTGGCTGTGATGAGATTTAAGTGAGATTTCAACATGAAAGTCTTTGGTAGGTATGGCCCATAGCTATTAACTGATTAACTTCCCTGACCTCTCCCCATTCCACCTTCTGGCCTTTGTCATTAAACATAGGAGATCTTAGATTTTTTTTTCTTCTATCAGAGCTAACACCAGCTTGTTTAAATTGAAGGAATGAGTGTGGGATTGTTTCAGAAGAACTTCAGGAGTCCCCCAATAGTAGTTTTTGGATTGTACCAGCAGTTAAAACAATGCTGACATATCAGATAGGCAGGCCTTAGGTCAATAAGAGGATTGCAACATTAAAGAATCAAATCACATTTTAAACAACAACAAACCCGAAACCTAATAAAATAGACCGAGATGTCCAGGTATCTCTCACAAGTAGCACCCCTGCATCCCACAATATCCAGTTAGAAGGACATAAGGTGTGCTCCTGCACTAGATGCCTTCAGGATTCCTGGCTCATCCTCTCCTTCCCTCATTGCCCCACTCACCCTGCACCACTGGAGCCTGGGTCAGTGGCCCATCCTGGCATAATTGGGATCAGGACTAAAGGTACTGAGACTCCACCAGGTGCTTGCCTTGTGGGGTGCTGTGAAGGCAAATGTGCCATGGCTGGGTTTAGCCATGAAGTACAGAGTACAAGGGAGCAAGGCTTCAGGGAGGGGAGCAGGAAGGGCCTATAGATTTCATGTGATTCTGAGGGCTGGAGACAGTAAACCTCAGGGGCAGTTTCCCTGAATGCTCTGTCTCCGAATTTTTGTGCTGATGGCATCAGATGAAAGAGAAAAGGAGTCCCAAAGGTAGCTATCACCACCATCTGCGTTCATCTGGATTCTCCTTTCATTTTAGAATGACCAGTAACAGCCTGGAAAGGTTAGGTATGGTAATAAGGATCAGTGCCTTAAGCCAAAGAGGTTAAACTCTAAGGAAAGAATTTCAGATGTCTATTGCAACTATACTTTTTTAAAAGATTTATTTATTTACTTGAAAGTCAGAGTTACACACAGAGAGGAGAGGCAGAGAAGTCTTCCATCAGCTGGTTCACTCCCCAATTGACCGCAATGGCTGGAGCTGTGCCAATCCGAAGCCAGGATCCAGGAACTTCTTCCAGGTCTTCCATGTGGGTGCAGGGGCTCAAGGACTTGGACTATCTTCTACTGCTATCCCAGGCCACAGCAGAGAGCTAGATTGGAAATGGAGCAGCTGGGACTCAAACCAGTGCCCATATGGTATATCGGCACGGCAGACAGTGTCTTTACCCGCTATGCCACAGTGCCGGCCCCTGCAACTATACTTTTTAAATAACCTGGAAACCAGAGGGTCCTGCCTTTATTCCAGATGCAGTTCTGAGTGAAGACCAAGACAGAATTTTGTCACCTGCAGAGGGAAGGATGGTCTCTGAGCTCTGAGGCCACTCACATCTGAATACACATTGTATTCCAGCTTCCCTCACACCTGCCCAGATGCCCAGCCCACACGGGGCACTCATCAAGCATGTGTGGGTGACTGGGCGAATGGAACAATAACCCTGGAAGGACTCCCTGTGAAAGGAGGGACCACCTTCAGGTAGCCAGTGAGGAGATTCCAGGAAGGGGAAACAATTTAGGAATGATGCAATATGAGACTGATCATTTTTCTCAAGAAGCATTTGGAAAAAACAGGTATTCCAGGAAAATTAGCTAATAAGTTTTCATGGGACAAGATGAGGAGAAGAAGCAGAACAACCAAATTATTTTTATATATTTGTTTTAAAATTTTTATTTATTTACTTGAGTAGCATAGAAGCAAAGGAAGAGAGACAGATAAGCACAGAGAGAGAGAGAGAGAGAGCCCTCATTTGCTCCCTAAATGCCTTCAGTGGTGCACAGCTGAGGTGAAGATAGGAATAGGAAACTCAGTCCAGGTGTCTCATGTGGGTGGCAGGGACCCATTCACTTGAGCCATCACTACGGCCTCCCAGGGTCCATATTAGCTGATAGTGGGAATTGGGAGCCAGAGTCAGGAATAAGACCTGCACACTCTAAAATAGGATGCAGAAAGTCTCATTCACTGTGTTAACTTCTAGGCCAAATGCCTGCCCCTCAATCGAACTTTGGATCCTCCAGGATTCTACCAATTATCTGGACTAACTTCTCCTATAGGCAGATAGAGAAAACAGAGGCTTTTTTTTAACTTCAGAGAGAGAATAAACAATTTGCTGTAGTCATTCAGTCAATTGTAGATAATATCTATACAAATACTTATTGAATAAATAAAACATGCCAGGTACTGTGATGAGAATGGTAAACATATCATAGTTGAAGTTTCTGTTCCATGGAGTTTAACCTAGCATGAAAGACAGATGTTGCACAAGCAATGGGAAATGAGTCATGTATTACAGTGGACAAGAGCTGGGTGTTAGAGTATATGCAAAGAGAAGTCCAACAAACCACACTAATGGTCCCCATGTCCCGGACAGACTCTGCAATATTCTGATTAAGTGAATTTAATAATCATCCCCATTCTACAGATTAAGACGCTGGAGCTTTGAGAGATTAAATGCCTTACCCAAGATTACACCAATAAATGGCAGGGCCAAGATTCAAAGATCTGTTGGACACCTAAATATGCATTCCTTTATCTTGTCAAAAATTATAAAAATCCAACTCCAATCTTTTAAAAATGTTAATTTGTTTATTTGAAAGACAGAATGATAGTGTGAGGGAGAGGTGTAGAGAGATCTTCCATCTGCTGTTTCACTCTCCAGATAGCCACAATAGCCAGGACTCACCCTTGCCAAAGCCAGAAGCCAGGAACTCCATCTTGGTCTCCCATATGGGTGGCAGGAGCCCAAGTACTTGGGCCATCTTCAGCTGCTTTCTCAGGTACATTAGCATAAGGCTAGATCAGAAGCAGAGTAGCCAGGACTTAAGCAAGTACTCTGACATGGGATGCTGGCATTGCAAGCAGCAGTTTAACCCACTGCATCACAATGCCAGCGACAACTCCCATCTTTTTTTAAAAAAATAATTTCTATTTATTTATTTCCAAGAGTAGGGGGGAGGGAGGGAGGGAAGGAGGGAGGGGGAGAGAGAGAGAGAGAGAGAGAGAGAGAGAGAGAGAGAGGCATGCAGAGACCTTCCATCTGCTTGTTCCACACCCAAAAACCCCACAAACACTAGGGCTGAGCTGGACCAAAGCCAGAAGCCTGGAACTCAATCCAGGTCTCCCATATGAGTGACAAGGATCCAAGTAATGGAGCCATCACCTGCAACCTCTGAGGGCACATATTAGCAAAAATCCAGAATTGGAAATGAAGTTGGCCCTGAAACCCAGGCACTGCAATATGTGCTGATGGCATCTTAACCCTTGGCCAATGCCCACCTAGAAGAGAAGTTTTGGGGTCTCAGAATTTCAAAGTCTACATGTAGATTACAAGCCTGGCTGAATCCAGCATGAATATCGTTATTGTCCCTCTGGAGCTGTGTGTCCCTCTCCGGTTATTGGATAGGATCTCTAGAGTGGCAGACTTAATGGCCACTGTAGCAGAAAGTACTTCTTTGGGGGTAACTTGGAGAAGGCTTTGGTTGACCTTCTTTTGATCACATGCCCATCATGAAGCCCATCAGGGAGTCTTTGACTATCTGGGCCTGGCCTGTGACTACTCTTGGAGGGGCAGCAGTAGCAGCTCCACCTGAACAACACAGAATTAGCTCCTCACAAGAAGGATTTTGTAAATGATGCTGGGAAAATTGGATTTCCACGTGCAGAATCATGAAGCAAGACCCCTACCTTTCACCTTACACAAAAATTCACTCAACATGGATTAAAGACTTAAATCTACGACCCAATACCATCAAATTACTAGAGAGCATTGGAAAAACCTTGCAAGATATAGGTACCGGCAAAGATTTCTTGGAAAATACCCTAAAAGCACAGGCAGTCAGAGCCAAAAATTAACATTTGGGATTGCATCAAATTGAGAAGTTTCTGTACTTCAAAAAAAAAAAAAAAAAAGGAAAGTGAAGAGGCAACCTACAGAATGGGTAAAAATATTTGCAAACTATGCAACTGATAAAGGGTTGATAACCAGAATCTACAAAGAAATCAAGAAACTCCACAACATCAAAACAAACAACCCACTTAAGAGATGGGCCAAGGACCTCAATAGACATTTTTCAAAAGAGGAAATCCAAATGGCCAACAGACACATGAAAAAATGTGTAAGATCACTAGCAATCAGGGAAGTGCAAATCAAAACCACAATGAGGTTTCACCTCACCCCTGTTAGAATGGCTCACATTCAGAAATCTACCAACAATAGATGCTGGAGAGAATGTGGGGAAAAAGGGACACTAACCCACTGTTGGTGGGAATGCAGACTGGTTAAGCCACTATGGAAATCAGTCTGAAGATTCCTCAGAAACCTGAATATAACCCTACCGTTCGACCCAGCCATCCCACTCCTTGGAATTTACCCAAAGGAAATCAAATTGGCAAACAAAGAAGCTGTCTGCACCTTAATGTTTATTGCAGCTCAATTCACAATAGCTAAGACCTGGAACCAACCTAAATGCCCATCAACAGTAGACTGGATAAAGAAATTATGGGACATGTACTCTATAGAATACTATACAGCAGTCAAAAACAATGAAACCCGGTCATTTGTAACAAGATGGAGGAATTTGGAAAACATCATGCTGAGTGAATTAAGCCAGTCCCAAAGGGGCAAATATCCTATGTTCTCCCTGATCAGCGACTACTAACTGAGCACCAA